GTGCTGCTACTAAAATGATAACTGCATTAATTGCACCGAGTGCTCAAGTCAAATTGGCTATTTTAAAAGTATCAGTGTGCCAACACTCTCAAAATCACAAAGTAACACCTGTCACCCATCAAATTGTATTCTCTTTAAATTTTAAAATAAGTTATATATTCGCAATGGTGACATTTAAAAAAAATCGCGCAGTGTGATACTAAAAAGCTTGGCATTAACGCACTAATAAAAGTAAATGAAGTAAAACCTCCCCTCTATTACTTCGAGACACTTCTAAACGCTTAATTTGCAGAGGATCGTCTACCGTAAGAAACCGGTGCCTGGAATAGGCAATACGTATATTTATCGTCCTGGTCGACTATACTTACACAACGTTGTAAGTCGACCGGAAAATATTTGCTTTGAGGAATTAAATTACAAACGTCACTGGTACGATTCAGTAAGTATGTTACTAGCCGCCTCCATGGTTTTAGTCCATCTCGTTGCTAAGTTGATCAATTCGTGCGACTAAAAATTTCTTTAAGAAATTTTTTTGAAGTTAAACCAATTCTTTGCAATGGTCAACGCTCAGAGTAACTTAACAACGAAATGACGAATGAAAATTGGTAACTGAGAGCTGGCGGCAACGAAAGTTCCTCGATGAAGTAATCCTTGTACCGACATGTGGTAAAAGAGATGGAAATTTAAAAAACCGCTAGTAACGAAACTCACGTTAGTTACCGCCGCTAGTAATGCTAGTAACACAATTATTTGATTCCTAATTTGCACTTTATCGTTATCGTGGCTCTTTTTCTGTATGGGTCGCTAAGGATACGTCGAAAGGTCACCCGTATCATTTGCATTGTCTACTCAAATGTTTCTCCAACTTGGCATAAACAAATATCCTCTAAAGTGACATTAGGGACTTTTTCCAAAAATATCTACCGATTAATCAAAAATGGGGAATGGCGATTAACCTAACGAAATTACTGAGAAAATCAATATTCAGTGATTCACTATGTAGGGTTATTTTGAATTTGACTTGGGTTTAGATTGGTTTGTTTGAGGTGGAACTTTGGAAAAAGCATATGATTATGGGCTATGTTTATTTACATCTAGCCTAGGCACATTGTTTAGGATAGAGATAACGTAGTTACTAAAGCGACCCGTGTGGGACTGAGAGAAAAAATACTGACGGTATCAAATTCGAAGGTCCATCAGGACTAACTGCATTTACAACAGTCAACGGGGAAGCTTCCATGTAATCTTGTATAGTGTTGTATTTTGAAATAGTCAAAAGTGTCTTTCAACGTCCAATATGGCACCCTCTTGGTACTAAATGTGGAAAAATACTGCTCAGTTGCGGTCCATTAATAGTGAAGGGACTATACAATGATTTCATGCTTATATTTTTCATTCAACGTTTTAGGACGGATCTTTAACTACATGCGTATACTAGGTGTTGATAAATTAGAAATCTTTTCACACCTCAACTTTCCCTTTTTGTGCTATTTTTGCCGTATGATGCAATTTTGTGGTTTTTTAGTTATTGGACTTACTATAATGGAACCTCAAATTCCGTTCCTCAAAGTATCCGAAAATAAAAAACTTTTTGAGAAAGACAGGTACGATAATTTTAATGTCTCGTCTCCCTTTCCTAGTATGTCGAGTAATTGGCCTATATTTCGTTCCTTCGTCATTCTCCTTCCTCTGATTGGGAAATAACATTAGCTTGGCCTGCTTCCAATGATTTGGGAATATATTCTCTTTCAAGATCTCGTTGTACATCTTTAAGATGTGGGGTTGCTGAACTCTGCCCACCTTTACGATTTCCGGTAGAAGTCCGTTCGGTCCTGACGCTTTATTGATTTTGATTTTTTTCGCTGCCCTTCCAAATTCTACTTCGTCATTTGGTTATGGTACCTTGAGCGATGTTGTTATGACTCGGTACTCCTGCCCAAAAGAGCCACTGTTTAAGTCTAGGTACAGCTTTTCCCATTTCGCCCTCTTAGCACGTCCCAAATCCACGCGCTGGTTTTTTCGTTTTTCTTTATACTCCGCTTCCTGTCGCTGCCATCTATCCCTTTTCCTCTGCCGCGTAAGAGTTTTCTTCTTGTTCGATTAGTCTTTTTAGCTGCATAATCTCGTCAGTCCACCAGTAAGGACCTCTTATCTCTACTTTTTTTATTTTTTGTTTGTTACTGATTTTTGTACGTTCCGCAATATTTGTTTAATTTCTTTCGGGTTGGTCGTGTTCTTATCCTGCTTCTCCCCCTTTTTTAGAAAGCTTCTGATTTTCGTCTTGTCTATTGCTACTATCAGCTCTCTTTCTTTTTTCAATGTGCATTTATGTTCCCTATTCTCATTTGTATCCCATTGTGGTCGCTAAAGATCTCCTTCCTATCTTTGTGTCTCATTTCCCATCTTCCCTGTTGCCACTGTTAAGTCTACGTACGTACCTCATTGTGTGTTATACATGTGGGTTTCTTCCCATTGTTTATGACTATGACTATCCCCGTGTGGTGTACCCACTCCACCAGTTTGTTTCCCCTATCGTCGTATTTACCCCCCCCCCCACATTTTTGGCATTGAAATCTCCCATTATGATGGTTTTTCTGGCTTTGGATATTATTTTCTGCCGTTTTATCCGCATAGATCGTGGCTGTTCTACTGTATCCTTCCGCCGCCTTCAAGGGTTTAATGTCGGCCGGCTCCCTTCAGAACTCCAAGAACAGCCTCTTCCACGTCTTTGTCCTGCATGAGCTGGTCTATGGAGGTGGAAGAATTTCTTCTCACCACCGTCTCTTCTAACGAACAGTTTGACCTCCACCATTTCCATATCTATCATGTCTCTTGTCTCGATCACGTCGGTTTTTGCCTCGTCCAGTGTGATCATAAGAATATCCGTCTTTTGCTTTCGGATGGCGTCGACTCCCAGCTTCTAACGCTTTCTTCGTGCTCTTCAGTATGTCCTGCCCTTTTCTTGGACCAGGATACTGACTTTTGTACTTCTAGCCTCCCCCCCCCTTGGGTCCAACAGCTTGACTTTGTCTATCCAGTTGTTTTGCAATCGTGCAGCAGCCTTCCTAAAACTTTCGACCAGACTTTTTACTTTTCTTTCCGGTGACCCCTTATTTTCTCACATGCCTCTTCATTTCCATCGTCTTCTTCTGTAATAACGGCCTCGAGTTTCTTGAATGTCAGCATCCCTCCCTCGGGTACATGTCCGTCGAATATCCTGCTGGGTATAGAATTCCCCCAGGCCATACCCCCCCCCCCTCCAGGAAAAAGACAAATTCGATGCCCCTTTTCTTACAATTATCATAAGGTCGAATTTTTGTGCTGGGAGGGGGGGATATTCCATACACCCCTCAAACCACCCGGTGCAACGTTCATCAATCTTCGTTTGGGTGGTCTCCTTGCTAAGTACTAAATTTCATTTTCTTTAACGACAGATTCTTCGTAGGTGCTTAGATAACACAAATTATATATTTTTTACGTTTAGTTATTCTGGAAAGATACTTCAGAGAATCTAGGGGTTTTTCAAAGATTCTTCGCTGACCCTTCTGAGCTACACACACACGTATTTGAAACACTTTTCAACGGCTGTATAGAGGAGATTATTCAAAAATTCATCATAAACGTTTATGTGAAATGTCTTCATAAAATCTTTTAGCTACCCTCCGGAAGGTATTCAAACATTTCTGAGTGACTCTCTAAATATTCTCCAAAAATGCTTTCGGTGTCTTCAAGGGTTCAAATACTTGGTTATTTTCAGACGTATTTTTGATTAAGTTGTGTTCAGGGGCTATTCGGGTATTTTTTAAGGGTCTTCTGACACTATATTCTTCAGAGGCTCTTTTCAAATATTCTACTACGATTATTAAGATAGTTGGTATTCCTCAGAGATTACTCATAGATTATTTGCCGATTACTAAGGACTTCTTGTGGGTATTTGGATATTTTTGAGTATTTATAAATGTTTGCGAAATTATTCAGATTATTCTCAGAGATTATTCATAATTTGTCAAGGGTCTTAAGGGATCCTCAAGAAATCTTTTCTATTTTATTCACATACCTTGAGACATTCCTGGATTTTTCATAGATCCTCTAGCTAGAGATTCTTTAACCGTCCTCCTTAAATGATTGAAACACGTTAGAAAGCATTTGAACATTGTTTGAGGGACACTTAAATATAGTGATACCTACCTGAAGTTCGAAAAAATGGTTGTTCAGGAATCGCTAAAATATCCTCGAAACTAATGAATACTTGATAAGTATCTGCGGAATTTTAAACTTTTAACATAGTTTCAAAAACCATATAATACCACAAAATTTGCCCCATACGGCAAAAATAGAACAACATTAGTACACATCTGAAGCACGAATTCTTTTTAGAATTTTACAATATAGAGCATACACATGAATCCACCCTGAAAACTAAGTAAATTGAAAACCACAAGGGCACACAATTCGAATGTGTATGCGCAAAAAATATGAGAAAACCAAAGAAATACAAATGGTTAACCGTGAGGGGATCTACTGAAATAATTACAATTTAAGCTCAGAAATATAAGCCAATTTCTTAAAAGTGATCTACAAGTCTTAGAAGCGCAGAAGATATTGCAAAAGTTGCTGCTTAGAAAAAAATGATGTTGTTCTCCGTTAGTTTACACTTTCGGATCATCCTGTACCATATTCAGTCTTGGGTATTTCGTAGTATTGGAGGCAGTCTCTGATTGAACGAGCCTCATCAAGCGTCAGACACGAAGATGTGAAACGTCGTGATAATATCCAAATTAACTGAATACGGAAAATGTGAATTTCTTCTTAAAACTGTATAAATGGCTGTGCTATAGAGCTGTTAACGCTTTAAGTAATGTAACATCCTCACACAAAATCTCTTCCGCTACGTAAAGTGCTTAACACAAGTAAACCAAGCCATGTTTCATCTCTGCTGCAACACAAATTAGTACTCCAGCACCGTAGTAACTCACTGACCTGATCACTTTATTTTGCAGAGGATAAACTATCTCGGAAATTCGATACCAGACTACAGTTATCTATATAGCACACCCACATACTATCATAGTGTACTTGGACGCCCGTCCAGGTTATATTATGATATCTTGGGCTACCCTCGTTGGTCACGTTATTGGTATCGTTATTGGTATAATCTTCCGAGCACTCGATATTCTGATTATCATGATTATGATGTAACGAGTTACTCTCGATATTGGCCATCGTACTGGTACAGGCGGTACTTAGACTGGTCACCTTCAAAACAATGGTTCGATAATAGCCTTTCTCATTTGTCCTTAAAATATCCATTAACGTGGTACAGTTTTGACTATCCCTATTGGTCAAAGTATTGGACCAGTTACAGTTCACCCAATTACTGGACTCCTTATTATAATTGGTCTCGTTATTGGAGATCGGCATGGAATAGCTATTGGTATCGTTGGTACGATTTAGTAAGTATATTTACGTAGAAATGCCGTCTATATGTTTAATTGCACTGTACTAATAGTAGTTAAACATTCCCCACAATACGCAAGCGTTGTGGCGATTGTTACCACTTTAACTGCGATCGAATGGTCTAGCTTTGCATCATTAATTTCGTTCTTGATGATTGATTTTTTTGCAGTTTTTCCACCTCTTATTTTTGCAGTAACCAATCACTTGATGGTGGTATACAATTTGATTATGAGTTTATACTACTATTGAGACAGATTCTAATTTTACGGAGGACTTCAGAGTCGTAACAGTTTTTCATATTACACGATTATTTGCCCATATAAACATGTCGATTTTAAATTTTAGACTTTCAATGACGAGACAAGTCGCATTCGTGCCGACGCAGCTGGACTTTTGAAACGAGTTCATGCTCCTACTCTTCGATCGCCTTTGTCGTTGCTTCCATACAATACCAGGTAAGTTCGTTAAAAACTATCACATTTAGCATCATGTTGTTAAATCCGTTTAATATAATTGATACAATTTTATGGGATAATTATGATCAATAAACTGAAAAAATCGGTCAGTGTTGAATAAAATGTTCCTTCAAGGATTTATCTTATAGATACCATTATATTCTCAAATTTTTTGTTTACCGATACGCATACAACTACAATAATTTCACATATCATGTGGGTCTTTGTTGTCTCATTATGTAGGTAAATCTCATTTTTATTTCTTACTGAACTTCCGAGTATCGGCACTGAATCAGTAGGTACTGAAACATCGGAACAAACTGAAAGTTCAAGTGTAAAGGGAGTAACTCAATATAGACTCTTCCATCGGCAGCACTCTAATTCTGATATTAATCTGTAAATTTTGGTGTGTGAATTCACGAATTGTGGACTTATGTATCTATCTGAGGTTGATAGGAGGAAAACATTACATTACATTAGATTACATGGTACTACATACATGGTCCCAGCTCATACAACTACGTGAAGGGCCACTACGCATGCTCGTCTTGCAAGGTTTTTCGACAATATTAGATATATGAAGAAGTCAATCTGCCATCCCCTCCACTTTTTTCACATGTACTGACTGTTTGTGACGGTAAATTTGAATTTGTGAGAGAGATTTGAAATTTTGAATTTCAGGATGTCTGCCATTTTGTGTCATTTTTGTTTTGGAGGCCAATATGGCTCTAATGGCCAGTAGTCATTTTGCAATCGTACTGTACTGTTCTTGGACATGCCGTTTTAAATATCCAGGGTGTAATGGAGGTTATTTTACACTTAGTAATAAATCTATGTGGGGCTTTGTAAAGATGTTTACATCTCATTTAATTGCAAATGCTGAAATAATTAAACAATTATTTAATAGCTGCTTTTGTATACTAAACATTGATAATATATATAAAAAAGACAATGTGAAAATTCCACGTCATCTAATTATTACTATCACCACAAGACATTAGCGGTAAGAGAGTGGATAAGGTCAATTTCAAATTTACAAAGTTACACCCTATATATTTCATTCCAAATATATCGACACACACGATTCAATATGGCTACACAGGACCAAAATGGCCAAAAAACTGACCTACTGGCACACGAACAAAAACACCGATCATAAACACAAATGACCGGCCAATTAGGCCGTTAAGCTATGGAAGGGGGGGGGGGACTCGTAATACTCAATGAAATGTAATGCTGCGAGTTGAAGCAAATTTTCGCATAGCTTGGTAGCAAACAAAAAGCTTTTTTACTCCTTCTTTATGCCGTGCAGATGTCTGCAGTTTCGGCCGTTCGTGATTGTAGGTTAATAAATTGACTTTGTTATTTTGTGAAAATGGCACGATACGGTGGCTGCTTTAATCCTACAAAAAAAGACTGTAGGTGGTAATTTATTGGTAGCAAACAGAGCTAAAACTTGCTTCACTTTACGATCATCTCTTATCCCTACCCTATCTTCTTTCTCTAAGATTAGGACTCTATTGGCCTAAGAAATAAAATCGATACAAAATGGCAGACATTTGGTAATTCAAAAATTCAAATCTCCCACGCAAATTCAAATTTCCCGCAACAAAATGGCAGACGTCTGGAAATTCAAAGTCACCGCCAAATTCAAATCTTCCCGCACAAATTGAAGTTTGCCGCCACAAACAGCTCAGTACGTCTGCCGTCAGAAACAAGTGGAGTGTATATCCCTACCAAAATGATGCTACTTTTTTACTACCTTGCAGATCGGGTCGCTGTATGACCCCCTACTTTTTTTTACCTGTCTTAGACCTTAACGGATGAGCTGAAAAACTTTTGAGCAGAATCGCACATTGGAAAGTGTGCCAAAGTAAAACTGTTTTGTTTCTGTTGTTCGTACTTCATATAAACAAATCAGATGCATAAAGTTAATTAATAAACTGGTTTTTGAACGTAACTAGCCCCTTTGAAAAGAAAATAACGAGACGCAATGTTATTGCACCTTGGGCCCCAACACTTTCGTTAATAATCCAATAATGCACTGAATCGATACGCTCACGCATAATAATATGGTAAAGATGGTAAAGATTCGCTCCTCTGTCACGCAACGAAGTTCTCTTTCTGCACAAACCAACCACGTATTATTAATTTACTTATAATGGCAACTCGTAACAAATTTAGAAGGCACCCAGGTCAATAAACCCGTCAAGATGGCCATTCTTCGGTTGCGACGCCAGCGAATCTCCCCCATACTGTGAGTATACTGCTTTTGGTCCGAACTTTTAATTCTAACACTCACAATTCACTTCAATGTAAATTTGCACCGAAGGTTCGGGTAAAACATGAATACGCAATCGCAGAATATTGCCTTCGACCAGCATACATTCTCTTCGAATATTTCACTAAGAATTCCGCTCTCCCACCAGATTTTCACTTATATACCTCGCCGAATCCCAAATACAAAAACGATCCCCTTTTTCTGACCGTGCCCTCTTAACCAATACGAATCCCGCATTTACGGGGGTGGGGTGGAGTGAAAAATTAACTGTGCCGAGAATTTCCCAGATGGAAATCTTTTCGACCACTATCCACCGTAATGTCTTAAACGTAAGTTTCGAATTTTCTATTGCCTTTCTGACGAGCCACCACTGTCGGTTATTTTGGCGTTTAGAAAAGTTAGTGAATATTGGAATATGTGAAGTAGTAGATAGATGCTGTTTTTTTCCGACCATAAATTTCTATAGATGCGCATATCGCAGGTTATCCTGAAGAGCAAACTTTCGTAAACAAGTTCTTGTTTGTTTTTAAGAGGGTTAAATATAATTATATCCTATGAATCCAACCATCTGCTTCAAATTTCTGGTATGTTACCATCGTTTGTTTGAACACGGTTGAATGTATTGCACCCATGAATCCATGTCATCATCATCATCAGAAATTCCTCGAGAAATTCTAATTTCTAGTAGTCCTACCGTTCATATTCGTGAAATCTTCTATTGCTAAAAAAGGTTAAATTCGCAATTTTCTTTTGTTTACCGAATGAAATGGAAACATTTTATTGTTTACGAGCTTCCAGATTAATATTTGAGTGTAGGGCCTGGGCCAAGGTCGCTACTGATGTTGAAAATAAGCACATCAAATTGATTTTAACATCCGATATCACTATCTAAAATTACTTATGTTGTGATTTACGACGGTTTCAGTTTCGCCGTCTCAACTGGTAGTACGCGGCAATTACGCGGCATTAGGTAATTCCAAATTACAAGATGCACTTAAAGGGCGGCCATTATCGGACATTAGCGGAAATTCTACAAACCTGAAATGCACCACGTTGTTGCCATTCTCCACAATCCATTCGGTTTAAATTGCATTTCGTAAGCTTTACGTATAACGTATCTTGATAGTTCTATTATTCTGATAAATGAGACACCTTTCCTCGTTATTGTTACACCCCCAGTGACCCATTTTCCGTCACTCTCTTTTTTAATTTAAATTTCTGTTTTAGGTACTCTGAGCCAATTTTGACATCCAGAATTACTTCTGATGATTACATTTATAAAATGCTAACCACATCTCCGCACAATACCAAAATTCAATACACTACATACTATTCCGAACCGATAAAGAGATTTTTAGGTAAGTAAAATTAATGGAAATGTAGCATGTTTTCCATTTAGAGTGGATAATAGAATATTCTATAAATAACTGAATAGTCAATAACACTTAAGTTTCCACGTAGGTAAAATGTCCTCTAATATCAAAGAGATGTGCAATTGCACACAATAAATATTTATTTCAAATACTCGGTTTCCTTGCTCAAAGAACGCTTTCAGAAAATAAAAGCTGTTCCATCGTACTCCTTTCTGGGCGGTTACACTTTTCATTGCACAGTTTTCCCTAACCACATACCCAACATCTCATCTTATATTCAATTTCAAATGGGCGTATTAATGTCACAATTTGCTGGGTCGAAAAATTCAACGAATAACTTGAGTGAGCAGAGTTTATTGTCATTTTCAACTTTTTAAATTATGGCACCATCGCCCGAGGCACTTTTGTTTAATATTTTTAATTGAGGCTCTTAGTTTGCTTGTTAAAATACGCCTAAAGCGCTTTGTAACTTTACAGAAATTAGTATTTATTCTTTATAATCTCACACAGGGCCAGGCCATCTAGCTGCAGTAACGTATTCGGGTGGCAAGGGTTATGGACGTAGACCTCCACATGTTACTTTAGTTCTAAATGATCCTGTCAAGAATGATATTCAGCTTTTAAGCTATTATATTAATAAATTCCGAACTGAGAAAGCGTTGGCTAACGAGACAGGTACCGATATACTTCGGATAAAATTTTGTTTTCGTGTGGCTTTCATGAAATCTGAAACGTTAACAAAAAGGTACTGACGTACGTTCGCGCGAAATGAGCTTTTATAGTTGAATAACCTCCCGCTTTACGATTAAGGAGGGTGTTAAGTTAAAAATTAATCCTTCCATCCTTTAAATGCACTACCTACCTTACTTGCTTTATAATTAAATTTAAATAATTTACTTGTGTACGTTTTATATTTGCATATAGTATTAAGCTTAATGGTTCAGATTTCACAATTGTGGAAACCGCAACTTCTTTGCTTCAAGCCAACACTTCGCCTAACAGCTTATATAACACCACTTTAAACCATTATCATTTCAACCGACTTAATTAATTAATTTCAAATCCTTTCGACGCGTTTTACCAGGCCGTGCTGATTTTTGGATCACCAGCAGTTGACACTTAACGTTGCACGATAAATGAAGATGTTTTACTGATACCGTTTTGTTTTAATGACTGTTCTTATTGTGTGGATTTTCATTGCAGACGAGAAAGTTGAAGAAAAAGAGCTACCTGAAATTACAGCTGCCTAAACGTTTAAACGACTCGTTCGACAAATTTTTATTATTAATAATACGTTTGAAATGGCTATTCTTATCCAAAAATCACGTCACTGCCTTAGTGTTGTGAAATGCGAAATATTCTACGTAACTTACTTTTGTTAAAACATGTACTGTACCGATAATTCGTTTTCTTTAGTAACAGATTAGTTTAACACAGTTTTCTTATGTTTAGGAAGTATAACATTAGTAGTATCGAGCTTTTGTTGCTGTTCATTATTACCAACTAACACTTTTCACATAAATAGTAGCGCAAGTCGGGTTTGTGTCTTTTCAACAAGTATGGCTGCTATTTATGTGCAATTGGTCTGAATTTGACTAACACCTAGATATCAGTTACTTAGTAAACGTTTGTCTGTTCCGTACATGTTTACCTCTTTGCGACTTCTATTATGTTTAATAAAATTTATTTTCCTAAGCTCTCTATTTCTTTTTCCTCAAAAGTTCCATTCTCCTTTTCTAAATGTTTAGTGTAGGGTCTGCAGCATGATTTTTGAGAACGTGATTTTTATATTTTTGTTCACCATCAAGTGTGATTTTTGCTAACTTAATATAATGAATAGAAGATTAATACCAGAACCTAAAGTCATCAACTGTTTAAACAAATACTTAAATCCAACATATGTCAACAACAGCTGGAGTCCCAGTTCAAACAAAGTAAGTTTAAAGTCAAGATCAAGCTTAAATAAATAACTAAATATCTAATAAAATATAGTTTTCTCAACCGCTAACACCGAATGAAAGCTTGTGCCAACGAATTTTGCAACTAAAATATTTATAGGACCACTGTCACCCGCACGCCCTTCGCGACATTTCTCCAAAGTATCCATAATGCCGGAGCCCGATAAGGAAGAAAATGTCGAAAAATCAGATCGCGCAGCAATACGTATGGCTAAAGTTTCGCAGGCGGAAGTTGAAGCTAAGCTTAAACGGCAAAAGGAAATTGCAAGGCTTGCCGAGGAGAAGTACGTATAACTGCGGGATATGCAAACGTCTCATTCGCTTAACTTTGTAGGGCACTTGCCGAGGAAGCTGCACGTAAAAAAGCGCAAGATCTTAAAGAAGAGGCTGCAAGGAAGGCCGAAATCGCGCGCCAAGAAGAGCTTGCCGCTCAGGCAGCTGCCGAACGAGCTGCTGAATTGGAGCGAAAAGCAGAGGAGGCCAGACAAGAGGAGCTGCGTATACAGGTTTGTTACCCATTACTTTGGCCCACGGCTAATCCACCGCCTTACAGGCCGAACTTGAACGGAAACGTCTGGAAGAAGAAGAAAATGCACGCCTGGAGGAAGAGCGAAGACAAGCTGAGCTTGCTAAGGCAGAAGAAGAGAGGCAACAACTACTTCGTCTCGAGGAAATTGCGCGGCAGGCCGAGGAAGAACGTGAACGAGAATTAGCGCGTCAAGCTGAGGAGTTGGCAGAACTAGCAAGGCAAGAGGCCGAACTTGAAGAGCAAGCACGTCAGGAAGCCGAAGCATTGGCTTTAGCTAAACAACAAGAAGAACTGGCGGAACTGCAAAGACAAGAAGCCGAATTATTAGAGTTAGAAAAACAAGAGAAAGAACTAGCGGAGTTAGCGAAACAGGAAGCGGAACTCGCCGAGCTCGCTAAGCACGAAGCCGAATTGGCAAAGCAGGAAGCTGAAATTGCAGACCTGGCAACACAAGAAGCGGAATTGGCGGAGTTACAACAAAAGCAATTGGCTGAATTAGATGCACTTGAAGCGGAGGCAAAGGCGTTAGAGCATACGTTCGATGGAGAAGGAGCCACCGAGGAATCTGCGCCGCAGGAAGAAGAAAGTGAACAGGCAGTTGAGCAGGAAGAGTACCACGAGGAACCCGCCATAGAAGAACCCGAAGTGGAAGCCGAAGAGGAGGCGGAAGAGGAAGAATGATATTGACGCTCGCATGAAACCCATAACCGCTATTTTTATAACTTTTAATAACCTTTTGCATGCATTTACAGTTTGCAAAATTACCGTCCGTTGCAAACCTCAAATGGCCGTCCGTTTAATCCAATCCTATCCTCACAACGTTCCTTGTTTCCATACTTTTTAGTTTGACGCATTTACTAATTAACTTTACTTTGCATTTAACTAGCTTTTCATATATCTACACCTAACTGTTAATTTCTTTTACTCCCGATTCCCGTTGTTGGTAACACACACTGTTTCTGTTACTCCAAAAGTTTTATTGTTACTATATTTTAAAGTTGATCGTCCATTTGTATTGTTACATTTTTTATTACAAACAGTTCAATCTGACGTAAAATGTACACACTTAAATATATGTACCTATATAATTATAAAATGGAAATTACTAAGGCTTTTCCTTTTCCATTCGCACCTGTATTGAGTATTTTGAAATGAAGTCTGAGGAACGAGCAATCCATTACAATACCTAGTTTTTGAGCCTACTCTAATCTTTGGCTACTGAACTGCGTTATTGTGCCTATTCTCTCAGTCCGTTGGAGACAGTTACCGTTTTTCAAAAGGAGGATAAAGTTCATATTTGAAAAATAAATGACATGACATGAAAGTATCAAATGGTTTGAAAAACTTAACGTTAATAGTGCACCATTTAGCTTTAGCGGATGAGGATTGGTATTTTTGTTTTACTTTTTATAAGCTCATCCTGTTCATCGGCCACAGAGGTTCAAATGCTTATTGTAATAAATCTTGCACTTTTAATCATATAAATTTAACTGATAAATTTCTAATTTGATGCATACCATTATCACTTTAGCATCCGTCGATCAGTGTATAGTAGGGTCCAAAATCTCATTTACTGTTTTGACGACATGCTATACGTTTCAAGGTTTAGGAACGATTCGAGATGAGATTTCAGTATGTCAGTGTAAATCATAAGTTATGTCCAATATAATAGGTAAATATGTTGTTTCCGTTTCAATTTAGAATGTTCGCAATGATTTCACCCCCATTTTATCGGTCCCAGGAATAGCGGACGCGGCGCATTAGTCGTGTTCTGTATCCAATTTTGGTGGTTTCCTGCTCGTTATGAGGTAATACACAAATAGAAAGCAAACCAACAATACCGTGGAAACACAATCGTTTTTCAAGGTTGGAAAAGTCCCCAATATCCACATGAATTTATCGAAAGCTAATTTCTGAAAAATGGACAACGACTAAGCAGAACGACTAAAATGGGAACTGCTGACACGGGGACTGTTGAAAAGGGGTTTATTTTGATGAAATCCTAATTCACTGAAAATAAAAACTAATTTACTGAACATGACACATATAAATTACACAGAAAAGGGTAAAAGTTTAATTTTAAATTGAGTACAGTTCATTTTGGGCAAGGCTAATCTGAATAGGGAATTAAACCGAAATGAGAAAATGAGATATCAGGTCTGGTTACATTTTATCGAAAGTTGGTTTCTGATTTCTCTCTGGATACATGTCGCCTTTAAAGTGACCTTTGGTTGTAGGTTGTTGTTGTAGCATTGTTGAGTGGATGGCCCATTACGACCAGAGAAGGTCTCTTGTTCGAATTCGGACTCTGACGCAAACGCTTTATCAGTATGTAGGTGAATGTGGTCGGAAGTTTTCGCTACGGTGATAATAGAATAATTGCCTTCTCTAGAATTTGATCAAAATCAAGTGTTCAATCTCACACTCTTTGACCCAAGTTTTTTTCCTACAGTGACTATGTGTAAAGACAGTGTGGTCATACCGTGGTGTTACTTTCTATTGGAATTGGGAGATCCGCCATGTTTTAACAAAATATACTGGATGGAAAAACATGGCCATGACGTCACCTTGCTGAAAACAATTATGGCAATAATATTGTAAGCATAGCAAAATGTACCTGTATCGTTAAACCAAATAAACGATCAATTTGGTGAAAGCAAGGCGCATATGAAGCACTGTAGTTTTGTTTTGGTTACCCCTTCCCCTCCACTGAAAAAAGATGTAATAGTACTAACAGAGACAAAATAGCAGAAACTTTCCAATTTTGCATTAATGGAATCTCTAGTTCGTGCCTACCTAAATAATGAACTTTCACATCCCTGGATCGAGTGTACCAATGCAGATGACTCAGTTTTGTTCTGTGTATCGTATGACAAAAGGATTTGAATATTGGTAGCTTGGTTTCTGCTTCTTTTAATGCATCAATGATTATTATTATAAGACTAATCACCTAAGTATTACCACAGATTTAAATGGTGTATTTAAAGAGGTATGTGGTATTACTTATTCAATAGTATACTAGTGTACGAATATATAATAGAATTCAATGATAATAGCAAAGATTTTAGTATGATCAAAGAGTAACTATTGGTATGATGCATCTTATACGCGATTTGAGTTGCATACATTCAGGGGATTTTTAATAAGCAAAATGGGGAAAAAAGAAAATGCGAAATCCTTATTACTACTTACTAATAAAAATGAGTATATGGTTAATGTGGGTCGAATAATTTTGTCTTTTAAGCAAACTGGTAAGAAAGTAGTCACATGAAAGAGATCAGTGTCGGAGAATAATCTATAATTATATATCTACTTTTAGGTAATATATTTTAAATTTTAGCCCGTGTGGGTTTGGGGGTAGAATTGGCTCACTCCCGTTCTGGAGGTCCAAGAAGGCTACCAATGACCGCAAAGCCACGAGTCCAATCGGCTCTCATAAAATCTTTTTTATTATACCTGAATCACAATCTCCGTTTTAAACACTCAAATGCGTGCGAAAAAAGGCCTTTTAAACACTCGTGCTTTAAAGTTGCTAAGTAATGATACTTCAAGTATGACTTTTGAAACTGTCATCTGGGTGAAATAAAAAATCCTCTTAGGTCACTTTCTGTAAATGCAGAGCATTTCTTTGGCTTGTACGCATCCTTTGGTTGAAGCTTTGACAAACGTGCGTAATTTAGGGTATGCTTCCAAATCTGTTCCACTTTTTAATTTCAGCATTGTTTATTGTTTGAAGTTTTGAATGAATGTACCAAAAGATAGAAGATTTAAATACCTTTGAGATTTCCTCCTGCATTTCCTTCATATATGCCAGCCTATCGATGCATTTAAGACTTTATTCGTAAGTAACTTCTATTCATCCATGGAAACAACTTTTCATATTCTTTATAATAGGCTTTGGATTTGGATTTTACACCTACCAACGTTGGTTTAGATTTTACAACAAGCGATTTAATGGACGGTGTACTATCTTTTTCAACGGAAATCGTTTTATTCACAAAGACGATGATTTCTATAAGCAAACGTCAAGTGACATTTCCATATGGCAATCGTGAAATTACGAACACCCAGCCCACTTAATTAGACATGTATTCGAATATAACGTCAATATGATTTCATTGTATTTCATATTTTTAAATTATACTGCAGGTATAATAAAAAATACTATAAGATACACGTGTATAATTGGTCTTTAAGGCACTTGCAACGTTAAAGGCACTCCGCTTCGCGTCGTGCCATTAAATTCGTTGCGCGTGCTTTAAAGACTTGATTATACACTTGTATCTTAATATACTATTTCCAAACTCCTAGCTTACCTTCTTACTCTTCTCCACAGTCTTCCTGTCTATCCCAAAATCCTAAGGTGTGAGCGTGCCGAGGGGATGCATGGTTTTGCGTGAGTGACACACTAACCCCGATTACTTCACCTAAAGAAGCGTGTGGTCTCTACGTCGAGCCGCAAGGTGATGAGATCTCCCCCGACTGAGTCGAGAACATCTACACCAAAAAAATACTAACATACTTCGCAAAGAAATGGTTCTAGAGCAAAGTATCGACGGCTTTTCGACCGAAAACATATTGGAGAATGCTATATTTAGCTCTCCTTCGACATATAAAAACAACAATTTTACAGTATCTCCTTGGCTATGTGGGTTTATCAACCTGTAGTATACACACTACCTCAATTAATTAACACTTTATTATTCCTGGGATCCAAATAGACGGTTGATCCTGTAAGTGCATTTGACGAAGTATTTACACATCGCACATGGAAAATGCATACTTGCTGTAATTATCTACTTATACAAACTCGTCAAAGTTTCGTCTCTGAAATAAATATTTAGATTTGCAAATTTTAACTTCTCGGTGATTCATCTAATGGAACTTACCATAACATAAACAAGAAAAGAAAAACTAAATCGCAGCATAAGTAATTCACGTGTATCTGTGTTGAATTAGAATTAGATTGCTGAATAGATGATTTATTTTCCCATTGCGAATACGGGTACACAGCGTTATTATTCCATATTCAGGAACGCTGCCTTATATATGGAGATGGAATTGTGCACGTGCACGTAATAATAACTACTAGAAGTTTACAAGTATTTCATTTACGCTTTGAATGACCGAACTAAAGATAGCTATGATTTGCACGAGTATCTGTTTTTTTGCAAAAAAGGCGACGTTTTACATGGTAACAAAGTATACCATTTCTGATTTGAGCCGATGAATAATTTTAACAGCGTACCTACATAAAGTTTGCATCAAACGTTGCTTAATTAGTCTTCTTTCAATGTATTTTTAATACAGGGCTACGTCAAACAGACGCACTTTCTTATGAGATCACATTAAAATAGTATTGGCTTAGAAATGTAATTGGCTACTGATATTCATTAATCTTTTTACGAACGATAGGTATACTGAGTGACAGGGTTATTAATGGTAAAGGAGCATTGGAAGAAAATTATATATTTTGAATTTTTTAATTCGTGTTTTTTAGTGGTAGTGAAAGTGGTAGATTGATATAAGTACTTAATTACATCATTCACGCACTTAGTTACCGATTGCATCCAAAAAATCTTTACGAATGACATAACTGCAAATCGCGACCCGTTAGAACATAAAATAACAAGTTAAAAAGTAATCGTAAACGATTTACATAAAGCGCATTTCCACTTGCATTCATTTCCCATTTGTAAGATGCAACTTCTATAAAATCTTAAAAATCCGGCCACAAATATGAAAGATAGCGTTGCACATGGGCAATCCATTTTTGTCGTGCTACTTCAATGTCAGTTTATGAGAAGAATTTCATTTCAATGCTTTTCTAAATAAGAAAGTTGGAACTGCCCATGCGCAAACCTAAATTTTGAAACTAATGTTAGATTTTCCTTTGTTCCAAGCGCCTAAGTATCAAATTTCACTTAAATGCTTCCATAGATAAAAAAAAGTTGGCACTGCGCATGCGCAAAATAAAATTTTGAAACTGGCGCTAGATTTTCCTTTATTCCAAGTGCCTATGTATCACATTTCATTTAAATTCTTCCATAAATAAAAAAAGTTGGCACTGCGCATGCGCAAAACCAAATTTTGAAATTGGCAGTTGATTTTCCTTTATTCCAAGTGCCTATTTATCAAATTTCATTCAAATGCTTTTATAAGTAAAAAATTTTGCAATTCGGTTTATAAATGGTCGAGATGCGAAAAGGGCACTGTGAATTTTAAATCGATTCGATTCAACTTTTGGCATTGCGTATTATATGGCTAAAGCTATGCCCATATTGAATTTCATGCAATTCAGTTCATAACTAACGGAGATGTAAAAGCGATCGAACATTTCTAAACAAAATTATCGTTCACACGGACAGATAGATGGACAGACAGACAAAGGAACAGACGGAGAGACCAACCGGCAGGCGACAGATAGCAATGCAAAATTATAAAAGATCTCTAGGATCGTTAATAAACGGCAAAAGTGTAAAATTATGGAACATGTAAAAAACGGTTTTTTGTTTTTTTTACAATAACTTTTTTTGTAAGCGGTACAGAAAAAAATCCTTCCTTGGTACAAGACTCGACACCATAACGAACCAAATAGCGAAAAAAGTAGAACAATAGCTCTTAAGATAAAGAACTAGTAGCGTCGCAAAACGAGCGGACGGACGGACAGCCGGACGGACGGACGGACGGACGGACAAAGTGGCCACAATAGCGCATTTTTTTTTATTTTTGTGGAAATGCGCTAAAAAGGATGAATCGTGTGATCCCAAGCAGTACGAATATAAGTAGGTATAAAATAATTCTGAAAAATAGAATAATATAATTTAAGGATAATAAGTAATGGAGAACTGTTGTTGACTATAATATACGATTCATCTAATAAGATATTTCCTTTTCTGCGTCATTAGCCAACCATTCTGTTAGATAATTGCACAGCATAGATGCTATTAGTGTTTCAAATAGACGATACTTCTGCTTATAATTAAGGAAATCCAATTGTAAAAGAATATTGTATAAAAATTAATTAAGCTCGTTATCTTCCGTTTTTAAAAGTAAAGGAGAAAAGTATCTCGCCTGAATATCAATAATCCCAAAACATGCACAAAAATTTTAAATCTCTATAATAAGCAAATTGTGACCAACTGTCCGTGTTATGCTCATTTATATATTTTTATTAACAGGAAAACACATAATATTATAATGACATTATTACTTGTTAAACTCTCAACTGCCAGCTATTATTGTGTTGGTTTCTCTAGTTACGGTTCCCAGTATATCTCCTAACATTCCTCCAAGTTAGCTCTCCAAGAGAGCTCCGTACTGCAGGTCGACGATGACGCGTTGAACGTCTCAGATCTCCTCTGTTCTGGTTTTGGAGTACAGGGATGAGGCGTGGAAAATTCCACAGAACGAAATGGTGCAACCGAAGACTAATCCGACACTAATACTGGTATTAATTTGGGATCCGCACTTTGAACACGTTCTAAGAGTCATCGTAAGAGTTTTCCTATTCTTGATTAGGTGTCGAACGATAAGCTAATAACATTTCATTTAATAAGATTGATTACCTTCTCCCCCCCAAAAAATTTGTAACATTGCGTTTTTAAAAGTACACCAAACCTTTCTGCTTCACCGTTTGAAACTATTAATCTATAATAGGTGAAAAGGGGCGGTTGTCAAGCGTTCAATTTATGGGCATTCCAGAATTTTTTAAATTGTTTCGAGGATATTTTCTGGTAAACCTTCGTGAACAAAAACTTAAAGATGATTCATTGAATTGCTACTTTCCTTATTTAATAAGATGGCATAAGATTGAGATTTGCACTGCGGAAGAACCACGAGCAGCTGGTAAGATTCTTAAGGCCTCTGATTTCTGAAGTTGTTCAAGAGTGTTCTGTGTACGGGAAAATTTGAACCATTTGAATATTTGCAAATGGGTAGAGTAGTTTAAGTAAGTAAAGGTTTTTAAAGTTATTTACCGTTTAAATAAAACGTTCTTGTAATATAGTAATTTCTTTAATTACTCCTTGAATGATTTGCACTTGCGATTGCATATAACTTAGTCCCAGTGTGTCATTATAATTATAGATACCACGACAACCAAGAGTGCCTCATCAAGATTTGAAATATGCCATTCTTACTGAACTGGGAAGTCGTTGATCAAACAGGTGCTATTCCTGGTCCAACGCTGAAGGTTTGGTGCACATTAGCAGATATTTTCTAAACTTAATGCATTGTCACAGCTCCGACTTGATTTATTGGGTATTTCGTTTATTTTAGAAAAGATTAATGTAATTGTCTAGAGATAAGGTGGTTTTTTAATCGGAAAAAAAACTGTTTGTTTTCGTAGAAATGTAATAGTTTATATAAGATAATTCGCGTACGTGACAAAAACACGCATCCTGTCGCAAGTTGTTGATGGTTTATCGGGTTACCAAGGGCGCTAATTGGATAAAAAGCATTCAGCGCTATCCAAGGAGGGAAGTCCGTTTAAATGCTGGAATCGGCGTAAGTTCGTGGCTTTTTTGCAAGTTTCGAGGCCGAGTTGAGATCCTTTGAAGACGCTTTTTGCCAATTGCGAGGTCAAGTTGCTGTGTTTGTTATATTTTGAAGTTTAAGAAGACACGCGCGTCTATGTTTAAGTTGGTGGCAGAGTTAGTTACCTTGTTTCGTTGTTAGACAAATTCGTCAAATAAATAAATAAATAAGTAAATAATTAAATAAATAAATAAATAAATAATTAAATAAATAAATAAAAGATATGTCCGCCGTGCATGTTCGCATGTGAATAGGACCTTTTAAATGACGAAATACGCTGATTTATTTATTTATTTGTTTAACCAGACACCGTACAGAATAAAAATTCCAATTACATGGCACTGGGGCTCTGAACAAACATTAGGACTTAAGATCTAATTTGATTTATTATTGCATTTAGGGGATCGTGAAAAAAGTCTATATCATTCACTGAGGAGAACAAATCAATGGATACATCTCAAAAACTGGGAGCGCGCATCCGCACACCAAATGCGCAGAGGTAAATTTCTAATTTTTTAAACGATCTTACTGAAACTTAAACAGGGGCACCTTTTACTAAAGGCAACGATTATATTAAACTTGTGAAAATCTGCGCATGAGCAAATGCGCGGAAGCAAATTTATTATTATTCGACCTATTTTACTGAAATTTTCGCAGTAGCACTTTTTAATAAAGGTAAATGTTTATTAAACTTGTGAAAAATAGCGGCCGCGTGATTGCGCAGAGGTAAATTTTTTTATTTCTGGACCGATTTTACTGCTGCTTTCGCGCATGTGCAAAAGTAAATTTCTTATTTGAGGACTAATTTTTGTGAAATTTAACGGTATGTACTTCTTATAACCGCAAAATGAACACCCATGTCCAAAATTGCTACATCGATTAGGTACTTCGCTCAATAAAAGGCGAAGCGATGCATGGAAAGTCAACACAATAAAAGGAAAGTGCTGGGTCTCAACAGATGCTACCGCGCGGAATAGTTAAGTTTAGAAGAAACCACTAACCAGTATGGCAAAGAAATTAATACAAAACAGGTTGAGAACTTGGTAGCTTGACAAAGTTGGATTAAACTTAGCCCACCTATGAGTTTGCTAAATGCATTATTCTGTTCTGCAAATTTTCTGCCTGGATATGTCGTGCTGAACAATTTTCAAGTGCTCAAAAAGAGAATCATTTAGCATACCCTGCGAGCCGTTACAGGTGGTAAATGGGAAGGAATATGGGGTTTACAGACCATTGACCATTGTGAATGGATAACAACGACTATTTTTAGTACGAAATAAAGCCCACTGCACGTATTACGTATACCTACCTACTTATTTGATGTCCGTAGCGTGGCAATTTTATTAAGTAGTTCAACGTACTGAACTGTTTAATGTATACTAATTATAAAAGCTTTTTAAAGATCTTGAAAATTTGAAACCGACTACTGACCTGCTTTCGGACTTATCTGCCTACATTTCGAATATCTAAATTAGTAAGTACTAGCTTTAGTAATCAAAATGCTA